AGAATTATTACTTCACAGTTTCTATAGGATTTCAAACTATATACAACTTTCAAAAGGACTGAAAAATATCTAGTGGTACTTGAAAATTATACTTTCTGACTGTATGCTTCAGCTCATAGATCTTTTTGTTCATGAAAGACCCAGTATGAAAAAATTCTCCTCATAAGGCATTTTTACCGAAAATTGATTTGAATTTATTAGTGGAAACCAAAGAGGCAGATCTGCCTTCCCATACTAGAGCATGATCCTACAATATCTGAAAACTAAAGGGAAAGAATATATAGGTATTTTATCTACTGTATTATTCTTTACACTACTATTCAAGGAAGCGAATAGAGTAGAGTGAATACAGAGTGAATACAGAAGTGAGTACAGAGACCACTTGTTATACATACAGCTCTTAGACTCTCTTCCTTTACATTTAGTGCATCCAATTCCTGCTGTTGAACAACCAACTCCTAAAGAGGAAGCAAAATGCAAAATTCAGATAAAAGTTACTACCTCGTTACCTAATTTTTTGTTCTAAACCTCAGTCTGTATTGAATGCTGTTAACCATCCCTTTGCTGCTCCTAAAAAATCTGAAAGACAAGACTCTGTCCAGCTCCTTCACATAACTCAGATGTAGCAGACACTTGCTTTCAGCACACAACTTTTCCATTACCATAATCATTGTTATTTGCAGTTGGGCTACTACCAAAAAATTGTTGTCTCTTTTTCTACTGCTTTCTTCTTAAAATCAATACCACGGATGGAACTTATTATCTGTACTTCAGAAGTTTAGAGTCAAGTTTTAAAATCTGAAGCAGCCATGACAGTTTCTTCATAGTCCAAAAAGAGACAAGTAAGCCCCGACTACTGATTCAGCTCATTCTAAGACAGATGAGAAATACTGAACTCATCTCCGTACAGACTATACAGAGAAACTTTTAAGACTGTATGGCTTGAACTAGATCGTCCCAGAGAGCCTAGAAATGTTACTCCTGTTGCTAACATTAGGATTAGTGAAGGAACAAACATTTTATAAAGCCCAGTCCATTTTTTCCTGATACATTCAGACACACAGTAATAACAACAATAATAATAAAAAAGCTAGAGATTCACTTTTTTACACCACAAGAAAACTTTCTATTCAAGTGAACTACAAAAATTGCTGGGGTTCTTTTTCCTTTTTGCTTGCTTTTTACACATGATGAAACATCTAAATATTGCAGTAGCTTTTAAAAATTGCATGTCAAACCCTAAATTAAAACAGAAAATTGTAAACATTATTTCTTCTTGAAATATGAAATACAAAAAGACAAAGTATTTGTTCTTAGTCAATAACTCTGTTTTCAGGAACTTCGACAAGTGATAAAGATAACAGCAAGCTTTTTTTGTTGTATTACTCTGCTGTTGAGCTCTTTAGTACTTAAATTTTATCTAAACCCCATGAAGCCAGTTTAAGAAATATTTTAGGTAAGTATAATGAAACAAACCAACCTGGGAGAGTTTTTCATTAGCAGCTTTTAGCTCCATATATTTAGCTTGATTTTCCTGCGACATGTCTTTCATTATGTCATCTGCTGCAACCTTTTCATGTTCGATATTCTCTTCTACATCTTTAATTCTCTGTTCCAAGCTGTAAAAATATGGGTTTTTTAAGTTTCACTAGTTAGTGTTTATTGTAAGCACTCATTTCAAACTCCAGTATTCCTTCAGCTTCACTGAAGTGCTCAGTGTAACACAACAAGCCTAGACTCTTTAAAAAGTAGTTACCAACTTGTATATCATCTTGGAGGAGCTGAATTAGCTATACAAACATTCAAAAAATGTAGAGAAGATGAAGAATTATCTTCCTTTATAATACTTGCATGGTATTTTCCAACACTCCTACACTGTCAATCTGCATTAGCCTCAACACTGGCAAAAGTATAGTACTCCCTCTCAATCAGTGAATTTCTGGAGTAAAAACAGGCAGTTTCAAATGAGGAAGCTGGTATGCAATTTGTGAATACACACTAAGAAAATAAATTATACAGATAACAGGACCTGGCAGCAGCAGGAGACGATGATGAAGAGATTACTCTTCACAAAAAATTGTTGATTACTCAAGAATGGAGGGTGGCTCCAGAGGTCTGAGCAGCGTAGTTTTTTAAATAAGCAGTAGCAAAGAAATTAGGCGTTTTTTACATTCTTCATCCAGGATTTAATTTTATTAGGAAATTGATAGTTTGCAAATATAAAAGCTTTACCATTCCAGCTATAGTGAGCTATAAGCAACTGTCTTAAAAGATTTAAAGGACACATAAAGAACTGTTCTCACTGTTTTATGGTAAGTCTAGTAATTACCATGAAATTCCTGAAAGCTAGAGTCAATTTGAGAACATACTAAGAAGAAATTTTAAAAAAACACACACTCCTGCGACCCTGAAGAGTATACCTTCATTCCCTTCACTGATCATGAAAAATTGCTTAAATGGTTTGCTTGTTTCCAGAGTGATTTCTCCCGTTAAGAATGTCTAAATCAGCTGAATACCTTCCTTCAGGATTTTTTTCCTTCTCCTTTTCATTAACTCTTCCTGAGTTGTAACAGGACAAGTTGTAAATTGTATAACTGACATGACTGGATCAAAGACTGCAGTCAAGAATGCCCTCAAGTTTAAGAGATGATGCAAAATAGTTGAACTGCATAATGATAATTTCAGGGTAAGACAATAATGAAAATATTGTAGAGTTGACATTGGAATGGACTTCTGAAGGTTGTCTGTTCCAACCTGTGCACTACTTGAAGCACAGTCTCTTCAAAACAGCAGGCTGTCTATGTCTTTTTCAGGTTTTCAGTATCGTGAAGGATGGATACACCACAACTTGTTTAGGCAATGCTTTGATATTTCTTCACTCTTACAAACATGGAAGTTTTTCTTAATATTTAAATGTACTTTCCTGTTCTCCAATACGTGGTCATTCTCTTTTGTCCTGCCCTTAGGCATCACTAAGAGCAGCTCTATTTTCTTAACTTCTGTCCATCAGGTATTTACTTAGACAAAATACCCACTAAGCCTTCTGTTTTGGACATTAAACAATGCCATCTCCCTCAGCCTTTCCCCACAGTTTTGATCCCTTACAAGAAATTCTCAAAAGAGTTTCAAAAGCATAACCACTTCCAACTAGCTTCCAAGAAAGATCTATAATCTCCAGGAAACTGAGAATATTATGTAGAAACTCTGTCAGGTTTTGACTCTGTCAGCCACAAAAGTGCATTGGACCTGATGATGATAAAAAAAATTGAAGCGATGATCTCCCACTTAATATGGCAAATTTGGATGGTTGTAATGTGACATTGAATTTAATTCCCTCTTGAGACTAAAACAAATTTATTCAGACCCAGTCCAAATATGAGGCCCTCACTGAAAGCATACTAGTTTATAAATGGCTAATTATATTACAGTTACATGTGGCAGTGGAAATAAGCCATTTTTTAAGCTACAAGGAGTAGTTTGATCCAAGACCTTCTGAAAGGCATAGAGCTAGGAGCTCTGTGTCAGGGAGCTTTCATGTTACATCTTTTATTGAATAATCCTCATGCCTCAATGTGGGCCAATGAAAGCTGTTGCAAGGTCTCAGCAGTGACAGTTTCTCTCAAATTAAGCCCATCTGTGGACTTGGAAGAAAGAAAATAGAGAAAAGGGCAGCAAAAAATTCAACAAAATGCTAAGGGTGCTGATTTTCAGTAAAAATCTCCACTCTAGATGTAATTTTCCTGGAGACAATGCAGCACGACTTAGAAGGAGCTTGTATTTAAATACAAACATGGTGCCTTTCCTGGAGATCACTGGAACCTTCAAAAGAGTGTGAATACAGTTTGCTACATGTATAGCAATGCCACTCTTGAGGACAGTGGTGTCTCCAAGCTCGATGGGATTTCTCTCATTTATGACTGAGATTTAAAGTGTGCAAGGCAGGACACAGAAAGAAACCCACTTTTCCTGCCCCCTCTATTTAAAGTGTGTGTGGACACACTATAGAGTAGACTCTTTACATGAGGCAATTCTTCTTTTCTGACATGATATTGACTCCTAGTTAAATCCTTCAGGATGTTCAAATATGTCCTTGAGACTAGAAATGTCTGATTGACTATGATGCATCTTCTCTGTCAGACTCCTGAGGGGAGACATCTGAGGGGAGGCTGCAACTTAGAGATTTTTCAAAAGGCATTAAAATAATCAGCAATGGCTGTCACAGAAACACAATTCATTACCACAGGTAATTTGAACACTATGGATGAAGCCGAATCAGGGATGAGGCTTGGAAAATTGTAGTATGTTTTGAGATATTATGCAAAGCAAAAGTGCCAATAACAGCAAAGACATAGTGAAGTAAGACAATTTCTACAGCCACATATTGGAGAGGAATGGAGATGGAAAGGAGATGAACTGTTCTGTAGTTTGGTGGTATGCACTGGACAGAATGAGCACTAATGCAAGTAAAAATTTATAGGACAAAGTGCTTGTATATAATCCATTTTTTTCAGCCCGTACATAGACATTTACTCCAGAGCAAGTATGATTTGTTTTTAGAACTCCTTCCTGAAATACAGCCCTTTTTACAGACATCCTTACAGTGCATGTAATTCTTTGCAAATAAAGAACTTTATGTATCACCTTGCAGTTCCTCTGACGATGATGTTTCCGAAACACAAGCATAATACAGAGTTAACTAGCTACTAGAAAGCTTTACTTCAGAATGCCAATATCCTGACATTTTCTTCATTTGATGAATGATCAAATTAAAAATGCAAAACTTTCTGTCTCCCAACATTTTTCAGTTGATTATAATTCAACATACTTACATACAGTTCAACATACAGGTGAATCACCTGTGGCATTTAAAGTCACTGCTTCCTCTATGATCTGGAACTTGACACTTCAGCATATTTCCTACTGGCTTTCCTATTGGCTGCTGATCCAATTAAATCCAAGATGATTATAAGAACTTGCTCAACTTAGTCAATCTTTTGCTAAGGATTTTCTAGGTTTATTATTTTTTTTACACTGCTTGGTTATTCATCAGGTACAAAGGTTGAAGAAAAACAAAGTGCTGTTTCACCGTGTTATTTCTTCTCAGTGCACTGAAAAATCTACACATGTGTACACATGATACCTCTAAGAAGCAACAGAAAGGTAAGACATTTGGCATGTCTAATTCAAAATGCAGACAAAGATTTATTACTGTAACTTTGTTGCTAGACTGGAAGCAAACACATCTCAAGGTACACTAAAATTTCAGGAATTAGTACAGCCCTTGGACATGCTGAGTTGTTAAGTAAATTTTACTCCATTAGAAACCTGGGGAACAAACTCTGAAAACCAGACTGATTATATAATTTTATGATTATATAAACTCAATTACCTCCCCAGAAAAATAAAAACCATTACATTATTTTTAAATTATATAATTTTAAAAGTACTCAGACGGAAATTTTTAAGAAAGCACTTCTAATTACAAGGAAATATCAAAGTATTCGCAATGTATTACCAGTGAATTGCCAGGCTAAGTCTCTTTCCAAAGCAGTTAGTTTAAATAGTAGCTTGTAAAATCTGGTTCTACTAAAATGCTAAACTTCAACTAAAATTACAGATGCTTTCCTGTTCTCTTACTGATTATATAGACTTATACACACAAAATACAGGCAGTCACATTTGTAAGAAATCCCTATGTTATCAGCAGAAAATAAAGAGCTAGGAGTTATGTTTTGGACTTAGACCTATGTACAACTTAAATTTTCAATTTGGTTGTTATTAACTTGGAGAGAAACATTAAAAACAGATGGCTGTTGTCTTGTAATCTGAAAACTACTACTGATCTATATTTATAAATTACCAAGTTAAGACCTGCTCTGTTTCTGAACATCTGAAAAGCTATATCTTTAAAGTCCAAATAATGTAAGATCCAGATGTTAAAATGGTCATTTAGGGAGTTCTAAAAGTGCATTATATCTTCCACTAACAATACACAAACTGGCTACAAAAATATGCAGGCAACCAGTATCACCACTGACAAGTGCAAAACCTAATACAGAACATAATTCCACAATGGCTGCTGCTGCTGCTAGCGCTGTTTGTCCCTGCCACAGATAATGGCTAAAGCTTTATGAACTCTTTTTGTATTCAATATAAGTTCCTGACAGAAGTAGAAATACACAATGCATCTATCAGAGCACTCTAAGTGGCCTTTATCTTCCTCTTCTTTCCAAGAAGTTATGAAATTTCCAGGCTGATTCAGTTAGGTGAATGAGGTCAAGCCTCTGACATGCAAGAATACAGAAGTTATCAAGCAGACTTGACCAGTTTGTTCTATGACCTCATTTATTTCACTAGGATCAGCAAAGGTCTCCCAGCACTCATTTTAAGGACCAGTGGAGGTTTCATAAATCTGACAGGCCGCCTATATGAAGCCTTGTTTGTGCAATTAAACTTCCTCATGTAATCCCCCCCATTTTTTTCTGTTAAATTCAGTGAATGCTCTGTACAGCTCACTTTAAACAAGTATCTTACACTTTACCTTTTGGGTTTCTATTACTTTGGAAGATAGAAATCTGGCAAGGAGATACTAAAATCAACTCAACACCCTATCTTTGCAGACACTTAAGAAAAACTGGAAAACTTAAAGGTTTGTTACCTTTCATATAACATTTACATTCAAGTGTGGCATAAACAGGGACAAACTTAACATTTCACAGACATTGTGCAACATTTCTGCTCAAAATGAATAGATACTGCAAATAGTGTCTGACTCAAAGGCAATGACTGAGAGACCCTTTCTTTGAGAGATGTTAATGCCCCAGAAAATACCATTTGTAGGACCTTTCCTGATTTCCAAAAAATTGGGCTTGAATCTGTACAAAAACTCCATCACTAGAGATTGAATGTTTACTAAGTTCCAAAGATCAGAGCAACAACTATACCTTCATAATAGACAAGTTGAGGTTTATGTCATATTATAGGTTATATTAGGGACAAAAAAGAGATTAAAAGATTGACATTCTAATTAAAAATTCAACAAAATCCTTAGTAACTTACAGAAGTACATAAAAAAAATCTGACTGGACAAATAAAATACTGTCTAGTAGACTAATCTGCCTTTGCCAGAGCAACAAGAGAAACTGTATAAGGAGAGCATGAAAGCATCAATACTTTCTGCATTTTACTCCAATCATAGTCTTCCAGTACCCATAATTGCTTTAACAGGGACATTAATGAGTACAGCCCTACCTATTTGTTTTATATATTCATGATACTTTTCTCTATTAATTTGTCTAACCAACCCTTTTCTATTTGCTGATACAGTCTGCACACTGGATTTTAGACTTGGCTCAATTAAGTGAAAGCTGAATTCATTAATTCTGATAACACCTATTTTTTCACTTAATTTCACATTACAAAGTATTTATATAGAAAAAGATTTCTTAAACTATCATTGAAATAACTGTATCTATTAATTTCTTAAACTACCACTACAGAAGACACTGGTCAAAAGTGTTGTTTTTTCACTAGGCTCCAAACATGAAACACTATTGGCTTGTGATCTGGGCTGGAACACTGTTTTTGAGTCCAGTCACTGCTGTCTGCAACATTACTTCACAAATCGTAAGTTTTACATTGATCTGAACTACCTGTATTTTTGAAACATACACCTGAAGCAGAAGGCATTTTAAAAATTGTTTCATAAACATGAAAGCCCTGAAGAAAGAAATACAAAAATGCAAGAAGAAGTGGTTTTCTGTGTAATGGACAATTAGCTGATGGTAGTCATTGTAAATGGGTGAATAACACTAAACATATTTGAGATGACTTTGTATCTTAATTTCTTCCAGACAACAGCAATGCCTCTTTACATATATACATAAGTGTATTCTTTTCAGAAAACAAAAATATTTCAAGGTATTGAGAGCAAAGGCTCATATCAGAAAACTGTAGCTATGCTAAACTTTAACACAGAAAAAAAAAATGAAGTGCTATAGCAAAAATATATATAATAAATGTTTTGTTGAAGGTCTGCTCTAAAGATGTTATTTTAAATGAAGAGTAAACATAGATGTTTTTAAAAGAATACATTTTAGAAGGCATATTTGAATTTATTTGCAGCCCTGAATAAGTTTCCTCCATGACACCTTCTTTCCACATTATGTAGGAAATTAATTATTTTTTTACCCAACAAATAATTAATTCCAAATATTAATTCCAAAATTGTATGCATTTGGTTTGTAACCAAAACTAGTTACATTTTGGATGACCATCACATAAAGACCCATGCATCTAAGCACTGAGCTCAGCACTAAGTGGCCTGGAATATCAGGTCTCCAGACACTAGGAGGATTCATTCCACTGTATCACCAGCCCATGAGTTATTTAAGAAAGATGTAAATAAAACTTAATGAAGATCAACATAATTTTTCTTCCAAAGTGACAGCATTAAAAAAATAGAAGTTCATTTTCTCTTGCCCTTAGCAGTCCTCACTGAGACACCTTCATTAGCAGACTTCTCTACAGTATTTAATTGTTGTCATCCTCTTTTCAACAGGTTGCTTGTGAGGAGTCTGGAAAGGACCTCTTTAATATCTCATTCTACCTTTTTCAAAATGTTACTAAATTAAGCCTCAAAAACAATAAAATCACTTTAGAAGATCATGACAAAGAGATTCTTGGACGTTTTATTAACCTCACTGAACTTCATCTGAATGAAAACAACATTACTGTACTGAACAATAACAGCTTCTACAACCTGAAAAATCTTATAACTCTGGATATTAGCAACAATTGTATTAGCACAGTTCATAAAGCAGCATTTGCAGGACTAAATCAACTCTCAGTGTTGAATCTATCCTATAACATGATTGCTCAGCTGGATTCAGAAATATTCACTTCTCTCAAAAGCCTGACAGTTTTAAATCTACAGTATAATTTTCTGAAATATTTTCATATAAAATCATCTTTTAAACTGGTTAAAATTGTTTTAGCTGGAAACCCATGGATCTGCTCCTGTGATCTCCTTGACTTACAGATATGGCTAAACACCTCCAGTGTGATATTAGGTAAGTTTTGGTAAGAGCAGCATTTCTTATCTTTTTTACATCAAATAACTTCACTGTGCATTTCTGTCTGATGTGGATAAAATCCACTGTCAATTTACCCATATTATGCAGTAATACAAAGAAATCCATGAGATTTTTTTTCATTAGACTGCCAAAAATTACCAGCATCTCATAGCCTTTTCACTGCTCACATTCACAGAAAATGAAAGCAACACTACATGTACATTTCCAAACAAGGAAAAAATCTCAATCAAGATGGCAACTGACTGCAAAACTGAAAAGACTCCTTTAGAAAACATTGAAACTTCCACTCCTGCTGTTAATCTTAGAAGTAGTGCCTTAATAACAGCTCAGACTCCAAAGAACATCACTGGAAACAATGGAACTCGTGCAGGTAACACATGGATATTTCACTTTACTGCTTATGAGCTGTTTGATCTGCTGCTTCATGACTTTATACTGTTTTGCATTCCCAGTACACTCTAGCTCTTTCACAAAAGCCAGGGGTACAGAACAAGCATATTTCCATGTTCTGGTAAGACAGTCACACAGATTACTGTGATTGTTAAGGTCTACCAAGTAAGTGTTCAAAACAGATAAACTCCAGAATTTTCCAATGATACTAAAAAATTATGATGAAATTCCAAAGCCCTAAAATTGCCTGTAACTGTCTAGATCTCTGCCTAACAGAACTAGGGAAGCAACTTGAAAAAAAATAGTTTTTTTCCAAAACTAATTGCTTTCTAGGTGCAGTTGTCTTCCTAAAATGTGACAGCATGAACCTAGAGATTTTACTCCTTTCCTGATTGTGTTCAGTATAAAGCATGTGAAGGTGCCCATTGTACACTCTCTGGAAATTTCAGTGATAGTCTCCTCACCATTCTTCTCCTTTCAATGTTAATCTTACATGCTGGTTAACTCTTCCATCCTGAAATGCCTTACTTCTTTCTTCTGTCTAAAGCAGGAAAATTATCTACAGATCTACACACAAATTATAAGCTACCACTGTGACACTTCCCTTTAGCTGTACCACCTTACAATTTATTTTAGGGTAGTGGCCAGCACACCAAACCAGCTGCTAGATAAGGACTACTGGCTACAGTTTACTGAAATTTTTATTATAAAAGAAACACTGAAAAAATATGCCAAACAAGACATGATATTTTCAAGGTTCAGACATTAAAACCATATAAAAAGTAAAGCCCAGGAAGTAGGATTTGAAGCCAGAAATACTGATTTTTTTTTTCCAAAGGCTAATCTTGGAATTTAACTTTTGAAAAAAACACCATATTTTATATGTATTTATTATTTTTATCTTTTATATGTCCTCAGAGCTTTATCTTTGCAATAGGCTTTGAAACAATTGTTTTTTATAAATACGCAAGGCAGATTTATACTGCTAGGAAATATGAGATTCACATACATTATTAGACTCTGTGATGTTACTGACTCAATAACAACACAGCAACAAAATTCTACTAAAGTTCTGGAGTCACTCAGTAATTCCCCCATCAATGTTTACTTTGTGAGTTCTCAATTTAACTATGAAAAAAAAAAATATACTTGAGTTCTTGCTAGTATTCCTCATAAAGATTGTTCTTCTTTTCCCATTTTTTTAAAGGGCTACCACTTGTTGGCAAAAGTTGGACCTTCCTAGCGGGTGTCCTAGGATTTGTCCTAGGCACGACACTCCTGATTTTTACTGCTGTAAAATGCCCGGCATGGTATCACTACTTGATGAGCTACCGTCACCGTCGTCTGGAAGAAAATGACTCAGAAAGGTTTGAACAGGAGTTCTCAGCTGACATCAGCTCTTCTTCAGTATTGGGTACAAGCAGTGAAGAACCCATTGTAATATTTGAGAAAGCTCATGCATGTGGAGATGAAGAAGATGGATTTATTGAGGATAAATACATAGACATATATGCAAATGAGGAGTGTTAGTATCTTAAACAAGAGATGCTGAACTAACATTTCAAAAACATAGTACACTTGTGCTTCCATTGTATGCTTTATTACATACAATACAGAATGAAGTTATGCAGTCTACCTCCCTCATCTTGCCAAATCCGTAGTAAGATTTTACTGCATCAGTCATTAAGTTAAAAAATGGGGTCATATGCATGCATTACTGGTACAAAAAATACTTCAACACCTGCAAAAAATACTCATAATCCACTTTTTATAATAATGTATTTGGCTATTCATATTGGGGGGCTTACTGTATATTGTTTAACATGAAAAAAGTAGCAGGTGAAGCTGGCATAATCATTAATGATTTCATTGTGAAGAGGTCTAGAAGAAAAAAATAATTTCTCTAAAATATTGAAACAGACCACAGACAGACTAGGGGCTTGCTCCAAATCAGTGTTGTAACAGTTCTGCAGTCTATTGGGCAAAAGTAACACAAAGAGAGAATGGAGCATTTGGATATTTTTTACCCAAATTAGCAAAGCAAGAAAGACCAACTGCTCTATTCCCAAAAATGTGTATGTGTATGTGAAACGATAAATTACCGTTAATGCATTGCTACTAAACCAAGTATTTTCTCTTCATATTTTCTTAACACTTAAAAATGCATTCAAGGTGGAACTGACACATTTGCAAGCTGTTGAAAACTACAGTTCTAATGCAATGTGACATTATTAACTGGTAAACTGGTTGCTTTGGAGTGCTTATGGGTACATAAAATCTCACTGCTGAGATTGCTTTCACTAGGAACAAGCACACGCAGGCTCATACAGTTTTCTCCTGCACCTCTCTTGTGCCTAAATTAACTATCAATACACAAGCCATTTTCATGGCTTACAAATTCTTATTGCAAGCACCTCACCACCTTCATCTTTCCCTCTACACAGCCCCAACTAACTTGCTAGGTGAAGGTCTAGTTCCCACTCCTGCTTGCTTTCTTCACTCTGCTACTCCACAACAAAACTTCCAAAACTTGATTTGGCAGATTGCCAAAGGACAGGAGTCCCCACTGCCACCTAACTGTTCCTGGATGTAATGGTAATTATCTTCAGATGAGTAACCAGAGTTTAACACTAGGAAATCGAGCTGCCATCTGGCACTAATGTATCACCTTGAAATTGTTCAGCTAACACTTGTGATATGTATTGCACTGTTAGGGTAACAGGTAACATGTCAACTTTCCCAAACTGAGTTATGAGAAATTGAGTTATTCCAAGATGAAAAACATACACTTAATGTACTTACAATTGTCTTCTTGTGAAAATTTTTTCTATATCCTGAGCGTCTTGGTCATTCTTAACCTTTAACTTAAAAAAAAAATAAAAATAAAATATAATCAAGTTTATAATCAATCATAGAATCATACAGGTTGGAAAACACCTCTAGAGATCATCAAGTCCAAACCCTAACTCAGCACTGACAAGTCCACCATAAAACCACATCCCTAAATACAAATTGTACACATCCTTTAAATACTTCCAGAGAAATGGATTCACTTACGATTTCTGTGATATCTATTCCTAAAACATGAAGAGTAATATACTCTTTAAAACTACATAGATGGGATGAAAAGCATTCTCCTCTTTGTGACACAGACATTGTATCTTTATTATTCAATCAAATGCAAGGAAAAAAAAGTTGTTTTGACCAAGAAATATTTCGGCCATTTTTCAGGTTACCAAAACAACCTTTACTGAAGCTGAATCCTTTTGTTTGTGGACAAATTGATCATAAGAAATCAAATATGTATAATGCCATTCACGCTTAACACTCAGAAGATCTGTTAGAAAGTAAGGAAAGCAAAAGAAGAACAAAACTCTTTGATTTTGTGGTAGCTATGTCAGAGACCTATTTATTATTTTTCACACTTGAAACATTTAAAATGCTGAAAACAAAAGAGAACTTAATGCCCAGAACACCAGGTAGTTTTACAGGAGAGTGCAGTCTGCTTAAATTTGTCTCTCTTAAGACTTGTTTTCTATGCCATCCCAAAAAATAAAAAAATAAAAAAGGTATTATAACACTCATAATTTGCATTGGGATAACAGCCCTCTCAAATTTAAATCACAGAAAAATATCATGGGCATTAGCACAAGACTTCAGGCAATTGTCTTAGTGCTAATATGTTGCCAACATAATAAGAATTTAACTGGGAAAAAAATGCCTATTTTAAGTCAGTGCTATGCTTTCTTTGATATGTCACACATTCAAAGCACCTAAAAAGTAACACATCATTTCATTGTTAAAGCATAGCAAATATCCTAATTCTTACCATATTGTAATCACGGATCACCTCTGCCATATCTGTTCTGGTGTTAAGTATATCCACAACCTGAAACAAGAAAGAATTCCAACCAGTTACTGCTTTCCTTTTCTTTTTTTTTTTTTTTTTTTAAAAAAATCAGATAAAGAGTTCATGAAAACACAACAAATTTTGGTTATTGTGAATGGAAAAAACAATTTGGGAATCTGAGTAGATCACATGTCATTTTCAGAAACAATCATTATATGTCGCTGTTCTAAGTATGGAAATACTGCACAGCACCAATTTCTTAAATCCATATGCAGACGCGTCTTCTAATGTATAGTACACTTTTCTTCTGTTTCCATCTCCTTCCAATAAGTGAATAAAGGCAGCATTAGCCATAAAAATGTACATTTTTACATAGAAATATAAAAAAATTTATTCTGAATAAAGCAAAAGCAGTACAAAGCAAGCAAGAGAATAAATGATAGCATTCAGTATCAAAATTTGACAGCAGCATACCATGTTGTAGTCTGCTAGCTGACCTTGCAAATCTTTGATTTCACCAGCTAAAGCCTCTGCCCTAAATATGAAACAAAAAGTCAAATTTCAAATGGTTCAAATTTTAAGATTTATATATGTAAAAATAAAATAATGAAAAAAATAATTATTCACTGATTCCCTGAAGCCTGCCCAATACTTGAAAATAGTCTTGTGACTTAGAAAGTTAGCACTGCACTAGCTGCAATACATCTCACCGTTTTTCATAGGACAAATAGGCAGATTTCTCTTGCTTGTACATTTCTGCTTCTTCCTGAAGCTTGTTAATTTCTGCTGTAAGTTCATTTGTTTTATTTCTGAAAAAAAAAAGAAAGAAAAAAGAATCATTAACATTTGGGTATACAATTAAAGCACAGCTTTGTATTTTATATATTTTACTCTAGGAGATTTGCAATTGGTATCCCTCACACTGCACTTTCAACTCAGCATTTTTAAGAAGTGGGGAAAAAAGCAAAATGGTTGTATCAGATAAAGTCCTAAGTAGTTGCTGAAAAACTTTGGTATGAAAAAAAGTGTTTTAATTAGCTTTTTGTCTTTGCTAGCAAAACAGATGTGGAAAGAAAAAAATGACAGTGCAATTTCAGAGTGTGGGTATCATCCATATTTAAAATGACAACTTTTAGGACTAATTTGTAACTAATGGACTAATTAGGACTAATTTAGGATTAATGAGCAACTGATAAAATCCTGCATGCAATAGTCTGCACAAGGTCTTGCTTTTGTCATTGCTAGCTGAATGTATAATCCAAGTAAACCATCTGAAATGTACAATAAAAAATGTTTAGTTTACGATGTTACTTCTTAAAAATGGAGCTATCAGGCTAACAAACACTGGAGGTGGAAGCTCAGAATCACTGATCCTGCCCTTACTAATGCTCTGAGAGAACATTTAACTTAGCAAGCCTAACAACAAAATCTCAAGGGAATCTACTTCCTTTCTTCCTACAGAATATCTATACGCAAAATAACCTTCACTCTTACAGCAGCACTTATTCATTATATGAATATATATTATATATCAAGTTCATTATATGTGAACACCAGTTACTGCACATTACTGTCAAGCTTCAATTCTGTGTCTGAAAGGGAACAGACCATTAAATGTGTTGTTAAGACGTACCTTAGCATCCCAAGGTAGTATGTTTTATCCATTATCTGTCTCTGAGGACCTGATAAAAGAGAGAGCACAGATATTTTGTTAAAAAAAACCCTAATTTAGATGAACTGTAAATTAAGAAAACCATCTGCAAAATTTTATATTAAAAAAAAATACAACTAATGTCTTTTACTATTATTAAAGTTATCACGTAATTAAAAAAGAAGGCATTTTTAGACTGCTGTGAAGATAACATTACTTATACAAATATATGAATAGTTACTACCTAATAGAGTATTTTAAGTATTCTGTAACGATGGAAGAAGACACAACAACCTTGTTCTACTCTTCTGAGTTATTTTTAAAGACAGCTCAGTGACAGAGAAATGCTTATCTTCTTCAGCTGCCAAGAGTAATGACAGAAAGAAGGATGCTTTAATTTTCTTTTTCTTTTTGCTGCTCTTTTTTATCACTGCTCTTCACTCTGCAATTTATACAGTGATGAAAAATTTTCCTTTAAAAACCTAAATATTCTTTCAAAATGTTTGCAGACATCTTGAGGGCTATTTTCAGTATAAAATACCTTTCATTGCAGTTTTTATTCCACTTAATCCCTGTTGAGTCACTGGACGGTCTGCAACTTTAATCTGAGATGATAAGACTCCTCCAGGAGTCAAAGAACCCCCATGAGAACCAGGTCTTGCTGTACTAGGAGGCACCTATAAAAAAAACAAATGAAAAATCTACCAAGTCTGAATGATTACTTTATTATCCTTAAGAAACTTCCAGAGCAGTTAAAAATTTCAGTCCCTATACACTTTCCGTAGGAATCTTTTAGCATTTACATCTCTTCAAGGAAGCAAAGTTTCAGGCAAACATCTGCTGTAGAAGGTAAGGGATTACCTTTGAGCAGCTGTTCATTGTTCCATCTATCTGCAACATTAATTCTATTTAGGTCTCCCAGGTGAACTCCAGATGCTGCAAGTCCCCAGCTCCCCCAGACAATGTTAGCAAAACTTTATACAAAACTGAAATCTTAAATTCTTCATAAAAGAGAGGTTCTCCTAACTCATCACGGTACTTAAAAAAAAAAAACCAGTAACAACAAAAAACCCCTAAATACATCAAAATTAATGTTATACTGATTTTTAACATGTTCTAACATACCGCTGTTCCTATTCTGCTTGCTGATGGAGTCCTTGATGAAGAGGCAGGCCTTGATGAAGAGGTCGGCCCTATTCCTGCTCTTGAAGCAGAACGAGCTGTGGGAGGTCTGTTACTGCTGGCCATATTCGTTTACTTTTTAACTTCTCTCTGGTAAGGAAAGAAATCGTCCTTTGATTTGCGTAAGGTCCTTAGGACTGTGAGAAACCGAGTCTTTAAAGCATAACTCCTATTAGAATGTTGAGGGGGGCTGTTTTTGGTTTTTTTTTATTGATCTGCAAAGTACCTAATTACTGGATGGTACAAGACAGCGGCAGGGCTCAGGAAGGACCATGTAACCCCGATGAGTAAACTGAGGCAGCAGTCTCTTTTCAGTGCTTAGTGAGCCCTCAGCTTATTCTTGTAGCATTTATTGTTTCAGTATCTGAATGCAAATCTTTAATGAAACAAACTCGAAGCGAGTACCTGCTGCAAATACTCATTCGGGTTATCTACGAACGGTCTGTAAACCGTCACCCGTCACTACGGCGATCCCAAACTGCGCTATCCCTGACAAAGCCCGGCAACTTTTGCCACCCCCGAGAGAGCCCATCCCAGCCGCACAGCAGCGCAGAGCCCCGACCGTCCGGAGGGCCCTGTCCCCTCACCGCGCCCCTCAGCAGCCATCAGCCCGCGGGCAGTGCCGCCGTATCGCAGCAACACCCCGCACCGAGTATCGCGATGGCCACAAGTCTCGCTCCAGCCTGCCGTGCTTCCCGAAGACTACGACTCCCAGAGGGCCTCACGAGAAAAGAGCGATGGCACCACAGCCTGCGTGGCGCGCGATGACTGCCGGGATAAGAGGTCTCGCGTTGGTCTGGCGGCGCGCCCTATGACGGCATTTCCTGCACGGCTTCCGGCGCGGCGCGTCCCGTGCTGTGTCAGGCCGGCGCTGCCGCCATGGCGGGTGAGGGCAGTACGTTCCGGCTGCGCTGCTCCCTGCTGGGGCACGGGCAGGACGTGCGGGGCCTCACCCGTGGCCTCTTTCCGGATGGAGGCTTCGTGTCCGTCTCGCGGGACAGAACCGCGCGGCTCTGGGCCCCTGACGGGTGAGTGCTGGGCCGCGGCGGTGGCCGGGCCGGGCCGGGCGCTCCAGGCGGTGCTCCGCAGGAGGGAGGGCATGGACGTGCCGCCGTAGG